TTGCCCTTTCAGCCAGTCAGTGTTCTCTGTTTCAAAAGTCTTTTTGGTTCGGCTGCTTTCTGCCCATTTCTTCCTCAACTTGTAAAGAAAATCCTGAATGGTTTTCGTCACCGACTGATGAATCTCCTCTGGAATATCACATAATTGTACTTTGAACACATCCGAGAATATTCTAAGCAACTATGACAAGAATGTTCGATGTTTGAAACATCACTGATCGAAGTGACCACTTCAAATAATCGCTGTCTTGGTGAGAACGCCATAACGCACCCAGGTACTGCTCTTAAAAAGACATCCAAAGCTGACCATTAACAACAGTACTACTGACTCATCACAATCTATTTACACACTAAAAGTAATTTAACTGCACAATAAGACATCAAGGGCACAATTTTGCAAAATATTGACTTTCTCAGAGAGCGCCGACCACCAAAATAAGGGCTGCGTGTTTCTCAGTGGGGTGCCCCACAGCAAATAGAGTTCAGAGAAAGGACAAAAACGTAAAGTGATCGCTTCAGAAAAACTGCCCTAAAATTGTGTCCCGCAGGTTTCCAAAATGATGCAGAAAGGTTACTCTATCAGAAAAAGTTAAAATTTAGGCGGCAATCAACGGCAATCCATAGTTTCCGTATTGCTGAACAAAAAAATCTTAAATTTCATGTCATTTTTTGACACAATATTCAGTATTTATTAATACAAAAAATAAAAATAAGTAAAAAAATAATTAAATTTCCTCCAAATATAAACTATAGACAATGTGCAAGAAAATTATTAGCTCAATGCAAAGTGTCTGATTTTGCTTTCTGCAGAATATTGCAACTCTCCACCTATTATCGCCATTTTCTTTGGTGTGGTGTGTACTTTTATGACGTCATAGGCGAGTGGCGAACCTTTGAAAAGAGGCTTTTTTTCAGGAGTTTAAATGCCCCACCCCACCACACACCTACATCATACATCTTTATAAAGCTTAATATGTGTACTTTCAGATAAAACATGATGTGGAGCTTGGAAAATGGGAGAATTGGTGGTTGTTTTTTTAGCAAAATCATGGTGTTTTTTTTGTGAGCAAAGTAAATGTGAAAATGGATGAAAGATCATTTGCACAATAACTTGAGTACGCCTGAATGTATTTTCTGGCCATTTGATTTAATAATTGCAGACATCTATAGAGCAAAGTCACAGTTTGGGTCAAAAAACATGATTTTTAAAATTGTGTATGTTTGATGTCTATGAAACCGGCCTCAACCATTGGGGCAAGTTTTAGACCAAATTGACGTTCCATAAATTCATAATAACCATCTTAAGATTACAAAATGCCCAGTAACTATAGACAATATCTAGTGAAAATGTAACTGCTTGCAAGATGTTTTCGATCAAGCTCGTTTTTTTTAATATAGCGTCATGGAAAACTTAAAAAAACACAACATTGTTCAAAGTTTTGTGTGCTTGGCAATTCTTCGTCTGTCTCAATTAGAAAGTTACATGCTGCTTTAGCCTGGAAATGCATTGAAAACTCCTGAGCTAATAAATGGGAGAGCATTTACTACAAATATCTGCTTCATTTGGGGCATTACGTAGTTCTTCAATTCATGGGATATATGGGTCATCCCACCGGGTTGGGACACAGTGTGTGTTGCATTCCAAATATTATTTGATTACACTCAACATGATATTTGTTATAGGGTGTTTTCAATACTAAAGCAAGTTTGAAATAATTTGATTGTACTTTGACAAAAATATGAGCAAAAATGTAGTAATTCCGACCTAACAATGACACCCTGTCAATGTTACATCCAACTATTATCTCTCCCCCCCCCATATTTTTACACATATGTTTTTACATATGTGAGTATGTAAAAACATGAGGGAGGGGTGGGGAGGATCTTGTTTCCCAACCTTTACTAATTGTTTCATCACCCAAATTGAGGCATTCATACTTTTTATAATATGGTCACATGTCACACATATGATGGAATAACCTGCACTGAATAGTCATTCAACATTTCAAAATCAAAAATTGGGGATGTCAAAGCAATTTAAAAAAAAATGGATTTTGTTTAACACTGACTATTCTGGATGGCCCCTTAAGGCATGCCGCAGTACCACCAATGAGTCCTAAATTAACGCTACACCTGTCGCAAAGCAGGCTGAAGAAATAGGCTCATCTCCTTCCTTTATGAAAAAGCTTGTGATTGACAGCTAATGCACGTCTCATCGCAACCTTTACTTACTTTGGAGAATATTGTCTAATACACATTAGTTTCAAAATAAACTTTCGGAAATCAGACATTTAACTCTAGATGCAGCAAGGTTTTGAAAGGTGATTGTTCAAAATGATCACTGCCCTAATAGTCTGAATCTCACCACTGGGTGAACAAAATACTGTATCACGGCGACATTATCGTCGCATCACTCAGTGCTACTCAGTAGACTACATTTTCTTCTGACCGCTACTGTATACAATGACGACTAACTGGTTTGTATGTCATAAACGAGCAATGACATTACAAACCAGTTGATTGCCTTCTTCCTCTTCTTCTCATGGTTGAAAATGTACAATGGATTTTTGCCAATGGCCCACCCACATATAAGGGTAGGGAAGAAATTACATTTAACTTTGCTTGTCTTTTGTGTTAAATGATAGGACCTGGAACAGTATCGTCAGCGGGCCGAACTCATGTCACAAGAACGCCTTAAATGAATCGAGGGTGACCAAGGAAGGGTGACCGAAAGATGAGTCCTTTTTTTAATTTAATTATTGACAGTTAGTTATTTTTATTCTTTTCATTGTGTTTCTGCATAGTTGTGGAAAAGCCTTTATGTTTATTCTGAATATGTTGCTTTTCCACCGACATTTCAGAAAAGCCTCAATTTTTCTTTGTTTTCTGTTTGGCTTTTCAGCCCGTAATTGCAACGATTCTGGCTTTTTAGTTAGCCTCACTACTTACTGCTAGTAGGCCATCAGCTTGGGGGTTTGGTCAGTATCAAATCAGTTCATTGAATGATTATAGTGTGCTTGCGCGCAGAGTGGTAACAAGCATTTTGATGGACATTTTAAAGAAAAGAGTGATAAACACCCAAAATCTGCCACGCTGCAATGCTATCTTGCCAAAAATCGCTATGACGATTATTTCCCTCATTTGATACCGGTTGTCGAAATGTTGGACCGAGGCTGATGGCCTATAGTCCAATTTTAGCCCACAACGCTGGCAGTCCACTCCATGCCACTGGCTCTTTGCAGTGGCCATTTAATGGCATTGGAATCGTTGTGTATGCTGCACATTAAGCCTGATCGCTACTTCTGGCCTTAGTATGATTTTGAGAAACGATATGATTTTGAGAAACCAGTTATTATTTTTGAAAAGTTGTGACGGGAAATTTGCCCACAAAATCAGATATGAGATTGAGAGTTTGTCTTTAATAAAATAGTTTTTCATTGCTCCAAAATGACCCAGTTGAACAGTTGAAGGGCACAATTAAACATGTTTGTACAGCGTTACAGGGGCCACTCATTTAGCTATACATATACAAAAAGCATTTGCAAAACAAAAGAAACATGCGTTTGTGCCAGATCGTGCAGTATGCTCCATGATAGCATTACTCTATAGAGGACATTCCATAATAAACATAGCTAGAGGGATTGTTTCACGAAACAGGAATGTAAAATTGTTGCAGAAAATCGTTGTTAACTGATAATTTTTGATTTCTTAGAATTGTGGACCAAAAGCTATTTAAGAATGGGAATATATATTAGCTTGGCCAGTATGCTTAGTACGATTAATAAATACCTTGGAGAATTGATGGTTTTCTGATTGGTCGAGACTCGATCACGGGGGTGTATTAACGATGATATAAAGACCGGTTTCAAAGAACAAGCGAAAAAATGGCCCCTGAACCAACATTGATCCAGCCCCATGGAAGGCCATAATGATTGGCCAAATTTACAACAGTCATACGGCAGCTTGTAACAATACAGCACTGCACATACGCTTCAACCACCTTCGCGTGAGACTGACGCGCGGGTACGCAACACGGTCGCTATGGGTGCGCGCGCGTAAGGAAGTTTTGAAACAACATCGTACAGCAGTGCAGTATATACTGAGGATGTTTACAACGAATGAGCGTAGATCTACGATTTATTTTCTTAAAACGCTTCGCCCATCGACATATTTACCTTTCCTAAACCAAGCATCTTTGTAATTCTGGACACAAGGAATGTGTAAACGAAATTTCAGCTTCCTCCACCAGGTAACAATATGAAAACATTGTTGTAATTTGTTTCGCTACGGCAGTCCAAACCCCTCGACGCCGTACGCGTACGCAATGAAGACATGTCCAGCGCAGCCTGGGCCCGGCTGTGGTGTATTGTTGATGAACCCTAACATGGCGCGGCCCCTAACGTGGCGCACTTTGATTTTTCGCCTGTAGCGCCTAGCTAGAGCAAAAGTTTAACTGAAATTTCACAGAAAGTGAAATTTTATGAAGTTCTAAACACTCCCGTTCATAATTGCGAGTTAATTTACCCGCTACAAAGTTAAAAGAAAAATTAATTTTGGCGTGATTTTCCGATTTTATTTTCAAGTGCAAAGTGAAACCTTTGAAAATGTGTATGGTATTGATATTAATGAATGCAGTATTTTTTTTGTGTAGTAGTATTTGCTTTATATTTTCAAGGTTGCCCCAAACCCAGCCTTAAAACATTACTTGAAATCTGAAAGTATTAATTCCTTTTTATTCATACGAAATAATTAAAATGGAAATACTTTTAGCTTTTAGCAAATGCTTTCCAGTAAAAACTTTTTTTTTCATTTTTTAAATGTGAAACTGCATGTTGTCTCGTTAAGATCGTAACAGTTTAATTAAAATGAAATCATGTTTTCGTTACTCACGCCATGCTCGCGCTGCGACGAATTGATTCTGTTTTTACCCCAGACACCGCATACAAAAACAATTGCAAATGTAACGCACAGGCAGGCACCAGACTACTCCTAATTTGCATACGTGTTCAAAAATCTTGCACATGCAATCCAATACCAGGGTGAGAGAGCAGGTAGATGTGGGCGCGTACTGCCCGACACCCTGGGGACGAGGTTGACTAAGTACCTATCCACCGAGGGGTGCATATTGCCATTGATGAACACATTATTACTATTACTCATAAATATTCATCAGGCAACCACGACATTTCATTGGTCCATTCCAGCAACTCAACTGTGTGAAAGTTTTTACTATTTCCCCCGCGTCTTCGTACTCGCGCGTGGCGTGTAAAAACCATGGAGGTACTATCACACCTGGGTCGCAGCCTGAGATTTGTTCCAGTACTGTGATATATATTTACCAACGATGCACGCGCTTTAGTAGCGTACCGTGGAGATCACCAGTGAGGACAGCTGTGCTAGTCTGTAACGGCGTACATCAAAATGGCGACCGGTGGTGCTCGCTCTGCGATTTTAACCGGGGAGGAACACAATAATAACAAATCCAGTGTTCCAGTGAGCAAAAACATGTGGTTCTGGATCTGGTTCTGGTGGAATACTGCATAATCTTTCCAGCAGGGATGTAATATGCAGGCGCGAGGTGACTATTTATGAAATGGGCCCCTCCGATAATGTCATCTATGTTAAGAGATTGAAGTTTCAAATGGGAATGGACAAATGAAATTCCGCAGCTGCCTGATCAATATTTTTGAGGTAAAGTCAACAAATATATCATGTGTTAGCGGAGGAAATAGTGAAAACAAATGATCCCCAATCCCAGTTGGGAGATAATATAGAAATATGGAATGCTTTCGAGTGGTGTAGTAAAATACTAGACTCCCGAGGATCACCATTTTAAAAAATAGAATGCTCCACGGATCACCGAGGGAGGTTAGTTTTACTTCACCACGAGATAAAGCATTCAATATTTGTTTTATAACACTTCACCCACAGACTCTGCTTGATTTTAATATTTAAAGTTATTTCCCTTTCCCCATGGACCGGCGCGCGCAGACGTATAGTACGTTTTGCCAATCAAGCTCTATCTGTGGTTGACGCGTTATAATCCCAACCATCCAACACTTCGGGATCATAAGTTTTCAATATTTTCCCACAACACCATGTTGTATTTGTATAACATTAGTCAGTTGGCATGTGGTCGTATCGTGAGCGACTGGTCCAAAGCATCAAACAACTTGGTAGATAGACTCTTATAGCCTTAGAGAAGATATTTACCTGAAATTAATTTGGGACGGGTGCCTTGTTTGCACTTACCTTGTAATATATTTATTCCCATATTTGGGTATATTTTTATTTTATCAAATTTTTGAAAAGTGTATTTTGGAGATTCTACTTACTGAAAGGTCCAGTCCATCATAATCTGTGCATTTTGTTCTTTCCAAGCAACAAAAGTCCTCAAAATCTAAAGAAAGGTTGATGAATAACTTGACTGACGATAATTTCACAGGGGGTTTAGTTCCCTTACTATTTTTCAACCAAGTATGTTTTTCAACAATTATTACGTCAGTTGGTTTTGATATGTGTAAATGATGTTATTAAAGCCAAATAAACATGTTCCAAAGCATATGAGCGACCGAATGATTACGAGGACAATAGATTGTGCGAAATAACTTTGTCCTTAGAAATCAAGTATAGTCTTTCCAAACCACAGCATTGATGAGCATCAAATTCATAAAGTTACTTACTGGCACCGTTATCCTAACAAAAAACTGATAACATCTTGATATTTATAGCCCCCCCCCGAAACAAGATAAATAAATTGGGCGTAAAATTATGCAAAGGGTTGCTTTAAGTGGAGGGGGGGGGGGACCTGAACAAAATCAAGGAATCCCAAAAATAAAGATCTTTGTTGTTTAAAGTGATCATGTCCTAGTCAAAACGTTTTCTTACAAATAATTTTGTGAATTTCCTTGAACTTGTCCAAGTCTCCCCCTTTAGGCAACCCTTCACCTACTTCCCAACCCCCCCCCCCCCCCCAATTTACGGACACCTCATTTTCTATGTTTTTGCTATCTGGGCTAAATATCACAATGTTATCATTTTTTTTCCATACAGTTTTAATGGGTACCATCTTGATAATTTGACGCTCTAACTATTGACGTTTTACAAGTTTCAAACCAGCTGTGATGTGCACGGTGCATTTGAGATATTTGTTGTTGTTGCTGAACCTTTTCATACATTACCGTCAATTCCACTAACTGTCAAATAACGTATACTGTATTATCCAACGCTAGAAAAAATTTTTTGTGAGTGTTGTGTATTTTAACCACTATTTTTTTTCTAAAAGGGAATTCATTCATTTAATCTTCTCAGGGTTTTTCGATCAGCGGCCATCTTCTTGACAGTCCCATCGTTTTGTTTAATCTTCAAATTACAGGTGAGTTGATTAATCACATTTGTAAACCAACAATATTCAGAGGGAGCTAAATGTTTTTAAAATTTTTTTATTTGTTCCAGAATGTCACCAAGATCACACAGAAGGGAAAAGTAAACATTTATTTGAGTTTTAAACCTTTAACAATTTTCATGTTACAGTTTAGACCGATTACTTTTCTTACACCATTCAAATCTGAACTGTGTTATTATTCCTGCAAAACTATGTGAACATTAGTTTACATTGTCTTCGTTTATCAAACCTGAAATTGATGAGTCTTGTTGCCATTAGAAATAATGTGGCGGATGGGAATTTGCCTGTGTTTTCTCCCCCAAAAAAGTCTTTGTGTGGTTTTCGCCCCTCCTGTAATCAGCGAATTATGAATTTTATTTTTTTTTGATTGCACATTCTCTATGTTCACTGTGTGTGCCTGATCAGCGATGTTGTTCAATACAAACTGCAGTTGAAAGATGTAAGATTACAAAAGGTGTGAGAATCAAGCTTGACGCAGTTGGCTTCTCTCGCGTGCGGCTGCGGTGCAGTGTGTTGCTAAGTTGTTCCTTTGTTTGACACGCGCACCATAGTGTTCGAATATTGTTTTTATTTGTAGTTTGAGTGTACGCAAGGAAACAGTTTTTCTACCGTTATAACCATTTAAACCGTTTTTAGCCGTTTTACTGTTTGGGTCAATAAATTACCGAATACACGGCTTGGAATCTTTTTTCAATGGTATTGCGGAACGCGACAGAATCTGTGAGAAATCGTCGTACATTCATCAGTAAGGAACATCTTAGAAAATGATAAGTAGAAAAACTGTTATGAACACTGTTAGGCAGTTTGATATCGGTACAAAGACCGTTAGATACGTCACTTTAGAAGTTCGTAAACATGGATAGACGGTTGAAATACCGATACCGACTCTAGATATAACTGCTTAGAATAGAGTTGTTAGCTATTCATAACAGTTACCGACTTTCAACATTTGGGTGAAACGTTACGTAATCCTCCTTTTAATTATGGCATTCAAATGGCGCGTGATTTCTATATTGTGACAATTGAAGTGGCGATCCTTCTCGCACGCACAGAGCGATTTCTTTTACAAAGAAAACATCCTCTTCAGCGCTGACTGACTTCAATAGGCCCATACTTAATTTGCATGTGACAGTTGCAGACATACAGTCACCCCTTGACTGTTATGTGAAACTGTTGTACAACTGTTAGACCGGACTGTTGCGTTTAAAGCAATCAAATTGCACTAAAGAACAGTCGTTGTAAGTTGCCACGAAAAGGTCTCCGAGTCCACTGAGGCATCCATCAATTATCCCCATTGCATTGCCTTCTGGGAGTAGTGGTCTCGGCATTCGGCCATCTCATATGCCTTCGATAAATCAAGGGGGCTGAAAGGGCAGCAATCTCGAAATAATATTGCATATATAATCTTCATTTTCACCGAACATTTACAAAATAATAGCAGATGAAGGATATAAACATATTTTTTTATATTTAATTTGTTTTTTTTTAAACATTTTTAAACATTATTCATCAATGGCAGTTTCAAAGCTTCAAGAGCTTCATTGAACTGGGCTCAAATGTGAGCAAAAACTTTTTCACGAAGAAACACTCTCCTAGTTTGAGCGCTCTCCTAGTTTGAGCTTCGTTTCCACGAAGTAAACACTCACCTAGTCTTGTGATACATTGAAACGTTCTACTTATGAAAAAAAATATAGTTTCGCACCTTTTTTGGTTTTACAAACTATCACTCACCCTTTTCTCTTATTTCTTGTTAATTTTGATATACAAACGAGTGAAAACCAGCAAATTCAATACATCAATTGTCCACAACGAGAAACCCAACTGAAAATACTATGCAGTTTTGACGCAAAGTGTTGTTTTCGAAAACGTTCAACTTTAATGCCGTTTACTCCGATTGCTAGTTTTTACTGGTATGAACATGAGTGTTACTTCGTGGTGTCACTTACGAAATAACAACAGATTGTTGATTGGGGAAATAGTTCTCCTCGCCTTCCTTGGATTATAACTTCCCTCGAATCATCAAATATTGTGAGAAAATCTTCACGGGTAACTCCAGTCAAAGTAAACAATAGACGAAGGTGTTCAAGTTAATCATTAAAAACATCTCTTCCTTTTCTCCGGTTCATAAATGAACAGAGCACTGTAAATGTCCCCAAAATTATCTTCACACAACGCGAGAGAGATAATTTGATAAGTCTGCTTGTCTTGTAAAGCAAGGCCAGTATAGCTGCGTCATCCATATATATTTGCCTTGAGCTCAATGATTAACAATTGTTTAATGGCCCAGTATCGGCTCTGTGTGATTTGCTATTGTCATGATTGAGGTAAGCGTGCTACTGTTACGTCATATGCTGTATCAGATTTCACCCAGTGCTCTGTTCGGAACATTTTATGAACCGAGACAAGGAAAGAGATGGTTTTAAATGATTTATGTACTTTAACACACTGATCTATTTTTACTTTGACTGGAGTGCGTTTCCGTGCTATATTTTGTAGGCCTATATATTTGTATCAAAACCCATAGAAAAAAATCTTTCTGGGCTGTTTATTGATCACTGTTCACACTTCAAAACAGAAATCATTTTACTCACATTTATATTTTTAAAAAATAAAAACAAGTATTGCTATCAGTTCACATTGGAATCTTAGTGGTGAAAAAAAGGCTTGAATGCCTCATACAGGCATAACCGCTTATGAAACTAATTAAAGGATTGAAGAACTTTAATCCTCCAACAATTAACCATACCCCCTTTTTTGACAAGGTTTTCAAAGCCGAGTGACCCACAGGATTGCTGGGGTTGCTGTTTAGAAGGCCGATCCTCCGTAATGATCACCACTTCAATGTCACAATAGAAATCACGCGCCATTTGAATGCAATCATTAAAAGGAGGATTACGTAACGTTTCACCCAACTGTTGGAAGTCGGTAACAGTTACGAATAGCCAACAACTCTATTAGAAATAGTCAAGACACATACGCACAGGAAGATAACAATGGATGACAAAACTAGTATTTTGGGGTTATCACGAATAACATCGAGTTCCATTCGGGCGAAGGCTGCAGAAAAACGAGCAGAGCTTCTCTGTAGACAAGGACACCTGAAACCAAAACAAGATCTAGAAGACCTGACGTTACAACAACAACAACAACAGGAAGAGCGAAGATTGAAAAGAGATACAGAGAATTTCAACCTTGAATTTGAGATCAAATTAGCCGATGCTGGATTAAGAGCAATGTGAAGAGGATGAAGACAAGAAAGTTAGATTCAGTCTGCCCGAAAATTGTTAGTAGGCTCAGGGACTATTGAAAGGCATCATCCTCGCAGTGTACATCGTTGGCGAAAATGATATCCAGATGCCATGGTTTGTCGCCACAAGAAGAAACAACGCAAGAAAGTCGGATGGCCAAACAAGACTCGCCAATTGATAAGACAAGACAAGAAATATGGCATCACATCGGGAGCCCGAGCACGATTCCTAGATATCCATGAAGGAAACGTCAAAGCTCAAAAGGGGTCATAACGGCACGGCTCTACAGATGCCCGACAACCGCCAACTGGCTGAAAAAAGAGCTGGATATCTGTAGAGAAGGTTTATAAAAGACCTGGAGTTCAAAGAGAAGTACGTGAAAGGAATGGAAGAAACGATTACGAAAGGCTACGCGGAGAAAGTGCCAGAGAGTCAGATAGATGGAAATGATGGCAAGATGTGGTTTATCTTACCATGGAGTTTACCAACCACTTTAGCAAAGGACTTGCTACCAGATTTGATCAATGGACTCATTGGCGTGCTGGTGAGATTTCGTCAAAAACAAGTTGCAACATTTAAGTGCCGACATTGAAGCAATGTTCTACCAAGTGAAGGTCAGAATCGAAGACAGAGATCAATTAAGACTCGTTCGGTGGCCAGGCGGTGACTTATCCTGTAGATTTATCTATCTATCTACGATCCATTAGGATTGATAAGCCCTGATAAGCATGCAAAGATATTGCTCCAAGACCTATGCAGACAGAAAGTGAGTTGGGATTCACAAACTGACGAAGATCGTTTAAGAGGATGGAACCAGTGGCCTGCTGACCTCCCAAAATTGGACATCTCCAGTGCACATCTCCACGACTGCAGTTTGTAACTTCTTAAGCGAGAGTTGCCCCACTGCAGGAATAATTGATACCAACACTCGAACTAACTACAGCAACCGTTGCCGTAGACTAGACATACCCGTAGACGAGATTTTCTTGTTGACGGATGTGCTATACATCCAGAATGAAACCGCAAGATACAATAGGTTCGTAGCGAACCGAGTGACAAAACTCAAAACCGTCACGGTGTCAAATCAGAGTAAAATCCAGCAGATTGCTCGAGAGGACTGACCATTGATAAAATCTTCGTCAACGAAAGATGGTTCGGAGGACCAAACATTCATGTGGCAGCAAGGAAGACCAGTGGCCAACAAATCCCCACTGAAAAAGCTCCGGAAAGAAATGGTCCCAAAGTGAAGCTTAGCAGCGTATCATCAAATTTATCAGGAGTTCTTTGTCACTCCTAGCTGTATCCTGCCGTAAGATATGGTTAAAGAGGCCAGAAAAGATGCCGTTCACATGCTCTTAGAGTACTACTCCGACTGAGAATGTCTGAGGGAGAGCTGCTGCTTGGTGGTTCAGTGAAAAGAATGTGCTGAAGATCAATAAGGATGCACATATTTCAGGGCATCTCACTACTGAAAAAATTGAAAGGGCCGAGGAAAGTATCCTACAATGTGGAAATCTGAGCGCCTTGAATCCTACCGCCTACTCTGATTCGACCATTCTGCAGAGCTTTAAAAAGGGAAGAAATGATGTCAAAGAAGTACTGTCAGACAATGGTACTAATTTCGTTGGTGCGAAATTGAGACGAAGGCTTTGCAACAATGGAAATGCAATGCAATGGAAAGAATTAGTTAATTTTGAACAAAGCACAGCGTTAAATGAAGGTTCAATTGCCCGTATCGAATTTCGGTCGTGTCTGGGAGCGTCAAATACGCACCATTCGAACGATTTGCTGGCATAACTAAATGAACAACATGTCAGGGAGTGCAGAGATAAGGAGCAGCTCTGAACTCTTATGTGCGAGACAGAGTTTCACTTTCAACAACAGACCACTAACTCATGCTTCAGACGATCGCCATCTCCCGAAATTGATGTGCTCCTCTTCAGACCAAATTATCTTCTAGCACCTCCCAAGCCGTTGTTACTCACAAGGACTTGTATGCAAGAAAACGATTGCGTCAGGTGCAAAATTTAGAAGATCTTTTCTGGAAACGTTGGACAGCAGAATACATACGTCTTATCTGCAATAACGTCAGAAATGGTTCTACCCACAGAAAAACATTAGCTCAGGTGACGTTATTACTTGTAACCGACAACCAAGCGCCTCGAAATTCATGGCCTCTAGGATTGGTCCTGGAAACGTTTCCAGACAGAAATGGTCTAGTGAGAAGTGCAAGAGTTAAAACGAATACCACCGTCCTAGTGAGTCATGTTTATAAACTATGCCAGCTCCTTGAACAAGAAAACATCTCTGCAGTAATTTGGACACTTGAAGAGTCCCTGGCGTCTAATCTGGGGCACCCAAATCGGGTGGGTGTATTCTCCCCTGGACAAATAATTTTCCTCTAAATTGTTAGAACAACTTTAAACCATGTATCAAACCTGATACTTTGGTGTGCCTATTACTTCATGATAACGTCGTCAGGTATCTATTGCAAGTGATATTTTTCTTTAAAAATATAACATAATCTACATATGTACTGTGTTTGTTATATAAGTCATTCAACGTATCAATTTTTATGAATAATCGTCCCTTTGCCTACTGACTTTCAATGGGGAGAGGTACTTAGCCACTTCAATGGCTTCCGTGATAGTTTTGACTATACAAAGTGTTCTCCGAAATTTACTGGGGGGGGGGGCGTCACGTACGTGCCCCTTTGCCAATCTGCTAGATATTTTAATCAACTCTTCTACACAGTTGCACAATTGATAAAAAGAAAACGACCAATAACAAATCATTGGCAGGCATAGTTATGATCGGGCAGGCATTACTAATGATAGTTTTTTTTTCTTTTTTCCCCAGGAGATCGTAAACAAGGTGTGAAAGACATTGGGGTCGTATGTATAAAACCTAGCATTCGCTTTTACCACCCTTTGAAGCATTTACTTGCATTCCGGGAATCTCTGTCTGTCGGTCTTCGATTAACTCCAGAACCGGGCGCTGTATGAAGTGGAAAATCGGCGGTGTGTGTTGCTAAGGACACCAGAATATGCAGTGCCCAAGTTTGAAGTTCTTTGGACGGGCGGTTCTCGAAAAAGCTGCAAAAAAAAGCGGAAAATTGGCACCAATTTCTCCTCATAAAACATTTTAGCCTGTGCAAAGCAAGTGCAAATGGCGCCACTGAGTTGACGTCACAATAACACTACTTGCGTAAAGTTTGGTATACAAAAGAAACGTTTATACCGTACATGTAAAACGTGCGTTTGGAATCTCTGTGTGTCTGTCTGTAACGTCGATCATCTCCATAACCTGGCGCTGTATGAAGTTGAAAATCGGCGGGTATAAATGCTCGGGACCACAGAATGTGCAGTGCCAAATTTGAAGTTGTTTGGATGAGCGGTTTTCGAAAAAGTTGCAAAAATGCAATATTTTCTGAGGCAAACGTGGCAATATAGCCTAGACCACCTCGCGCTGGCGTCTTTTTCAATTGCAAACGTCATGTCTGAGCTAAGGTGCGCGTGCTCAATGCAATGTGATGCAACAAAGGACGGGTACATCTCATTGAAAGGCGATACCATTTTCTAGAATGAGTTGAATATTACTGGATACCATGTTTCCGTATGTACACGTACGTGAGTGGCTGCATTGGCACATGCATTTTGCAGTCGACTTTAGGCGGTCGACTCGGTAACCTTGACTGTTCATTGGGGGTGAATTCGATTAACTCCAGAACCGGGCGCTGTATGAAGTGGAAAATCGGCGGTGTGTGTTGCTAAGGACACCAGAATTGTGTAAGGAGATGAGGATACGTACAAAGTGTGCATTCATCTGTAAGTGTACGTTCAACCTGTGAAAACAACACCATTTGAATCGTGTGCGTTTTCTGCCCCTTCCGAAAAGGCACATTTTCAATGGGCTCTACACTTAGTTTGTATGAATGAATTTAAAGCAAATGCTTTTACTGGCAAACATTTGCTTTTGCTTTTACTGGAAAGCAAATGCTTTTTTACTGAAAAGCAAATGCTTTTGCTTTTACTGCAAAGCATTTGCTCAAAAGATTTCCTTTTGTCGCGATCATTCGTCCAAGGAAATTGGTTTGATATTTAAATACAAAAAGCTTCAAACAATTACAGTGATTTGTAAATGTTTGAAATTAAAAGAAATTGAATGTAATTGGCAACATAATAATAATAATAATAATAATAATAATGGAGTCTACCAACAATTAGGTACTCAAGGTGCTGGAAATTATGTCAACTATTAAAGAAAGGTAAATAAAGTTTATGAGAATTATGAGACCCATTATGCTGCGCCGCACATTAAAATCCCAAGCGTTTGTTCACATCAGTGCGCGGGATTTTATAGCATGTTTGACGGCACCCGGTAGAAAGAAATATTATTTTAATGGCAATTTAAACCCGTTGTAAAGTAAAAAAAAAAAAAAAAAGTCTGCCAAAGCACAAATACAGCAGACTTGTTCCATCTTTTGTTGTTTTGGAAACTGATTTCTTATCTTTTTCCTTGAAAGTCCTTATTTAAATTATTATCTGATTAGGTAATCAGACACTGATACAAATTAATAAGTATACAATAAATTTAGGATATGAGTCAATCAAACTTTGGCATAAATGCTTTAAAAAATGAAGTGAATTGTGATAGGAAACGATTTCATTTGACTTTTTAAATTATGTATGTGTATAACCTGAAGCTGATTTATGTTTATTAGATGTATGTTGGAAATAAATTTTAATGATTAAATATAGGTTTCCCCAGCCAATTTTGCAAAAGAAAGCATGCGAATTCATCTTGATAGTGGCCAATTTGAAGCGAAGTAGTGCCCTGCTGTCATTCCCGTAGTTCTTGTTAGATATCAGGCGTTCAAATTCGTTTATAGACCTGACATTTTCATGTTTACATATCCTAAATTGAAGTTATGTTATTCGGTTTAAGTGATCATTCAATTTAGCAGTTGGTTTGGTTGAGGATTATTTGCATGAGATTAATGTTTTCGTTTTCATTTCCGTGCATTCTATTTAAGACATATGGCATTCAAAATAAAAGCAATACGATACAAGTCTTTTAATTTCTTTTACCTTTTCGTTATTTCTGCTTTTTCCTTTTTTTTTTTTTTTTAAGTCTCTATAAGTCAAAATGTAAGAAGTCAAAATGTAAACAATTGAAGACCTCATTGGTTCAACCTTGTTCCCGATTGATGTTCAAAGTTTGCTGATTTGTTCAACCTCGTTCCCTGAAATTCTAAAAGCATCCCAAGAGTACAATTAGGATGGAAATTTAATAGTCCCTGGGGTAGAAAGGGTTGGATATTAAAAAAAATTCCCTGGGAAGGGGGTTAAATTTTTTTTTTTTTTTTTGGTGTTTTAAGAAGAGCAACCGATATTCAAAGTTTGCTGATTTTTTTCAACCTCGTTCCATAGTCCCCCGGGAAGAAGGAGGTTAAACAAAATAGTCCCTTGGAAAAGTTTAATTTAGTTAAATTAAAGAATTGTGATAAGGGATGTACCCTAAAAACTCAGAATCGATTCTGTATTTGACATTTTGTTTTTACTTCAAAGATTTCCTGTAGCTATGTTGACAAGACATAAAGAGGGGAATTCCCTTTTCAAATCCGATTGTTCTGTAGCGAGCCAACCTAACGTGTCATGCGTCACCAAGCTGTCCATAACTTATGCCGTTGAAGGTAATTTGAAATGCGAACATGCAAGACTCGCGTGAACACAGAAGTTGCCCAAACGTTACTTTTTTCCCACACCATTTTCCTCGAAAAATGTATTCGACCGCTCAGACAATCCGCGTCGTCTTTCTCGCGTCGTATTTTCGGAAGGGCGTAGGGTACATATAAATAAATTTGGTATAATTGAAAAGCTTCTGAAATGCTATTATTCTCGTGCGTTTATCTCAAAAGCCACAGATGGATTTACTAATTATGCCACAAGCACCTTACAATCTAATACACACCTTGTCGATTTTGTCGAATTTTCGTAACTTTCTCTAAATGTGTGCAACCTCGTTTCCAGAGCGTCTATTGATTTGCTCCTACGGATCACAGCTTTTGGAAAGACCCCAACAGGAGACGAGGATCGACGATTATTATTTTTTTTAAAACGAATTCATAAAACTGGTTCAGCGCAATGAACTAAAGCCTGCTGTAAACCAATCACTTTGTTGACAGTCATATTGGTGTGATCTGTCACTTGGATGTTGTTCCATACCATTTGGATCAGTCTGGCAAAGGTGGTGGTAGTCATCCAGTGATTATTGATCGATAGTAAACAGTGGATTGTGAACCCTCAAATGACGATTATTAGACCAGCGGGCCTACTCGCACTAAACTTAGGCCGTTTTGTATCAGCTGTAAATATTAATATTTTCTTTAGGCTTTCAGATCAAGAATGTAAAATGGCTAGCTAGTAAACGTACGGTTTTACGTGACAGTATTGTCTTGTTACGTAATACCGTACGTTTACTAGCTAGCCATTATAGCTATTTATGCAAGCAGTGATATCCCGCGCAAGGATGCTACCTAATGCGGTGAATGGAAACTGCGAAATGTTTTTGGCCTTCACAGTCTCGAGATATTGAAATGTCTTACTGAAACGGAGGAGGGCTTCGAAGAGGATCCCGTTGTGGTGGTGTTAAGGTCGAGGGGTGCAAACGATTAAGGGACAAACGATTAAACGATGCTTGAGCACGCTTTAATCGGCGGGACTTCTCGGCTTTTAAGACTTTCATATTTGTAAACAGTCCTTAAGAAGGCATTTATTGTCCGCTTCGAAAGGAATATCGCAATCAAGACCTTCGTCTTTGATTCTAGCAGTTTTAAGAAGACGAACGTAATGGGACGGCGCGTTGTAGACTCAGCATCTGTGTGTTCCAACTGTTCATGTGTATGAGTTAGATGTATTAAAAAAACAATATCACGCTCCTTTACGCGAAACTTGGACGGTTGAGGTCTTTGTGTTCGGAAAGACGCCTACGAAGCACCACATCTGAGAGGCCTAAATGCGAACTGTCGGCATCTCCTTAAAAGGTTAAACCTTGTAAAATTAAGAAAAACTAGTGCAGGGCCCGTTGAAAATGTGTCTGTTTGGAGGGGGCAGGGAACTGCTCATTCAAACAACGCACACGACATGTTGCTAGCTTGCACAGATTGAACGCTCATTTATAGTTTAAACGCGCACTTTGTACACGTCACCATCCCCTGGCATTGATATTTACCCATACTGGACTATGGTATCATCCTACAGTGAAGGTTGCTCAGTCAGTCGCCTACAGTGATTGTTGCTCAGTCGACGACAAAATGCGTATACCCGTGCAGCCTCTCACATCCTCGTACGCGTACCGTGCTGGCCGTCTAAAATATGTGCTTCAATGCGATTCAATGGTGTTGTTTTCACAGGTTGACACACACTCACGTCAAAGTTTGTGCCAAGTTTGAAATTGTTTGGGCGAGTCGTTCCCAAAAAGGCTGCAAAAAATAGCGCAGATATTACTCACCACTACTGGACAATAGTATCGTCCTGCAGTAAGGTCGCTCAGTCGACTGCAAAAATAATGTGCCCGTGCAGCCATCACGTAGGTGTACATACGGTAACATGGTACGCAATGCTATATATTCACTCATACTGGACAATAGTATCGCCCTACAATGCTCGTGCGCGTGCCATAGAGTTATGGCGCGTGCCCGTCTTTTTTTGCATCGTTGGCGTCATATTGAGCACGCCCGGTTTAGCTTTACATGACGTAAACAATTGAAAAGAACGGCAGTGCGTGGTGTTATGTTCTAAATTATATACTGCCACGCTAGGCTTCAGAAAATACTGCTTTTTTGCAGCTTTTTCGAGAACCCCTCTTCAAACAACTTCAAACTCGACCCTGCACATTCTGTTGTCCCGAGCAGTATGCCTGCCGATTTTCAATTTCATACGGTACCCGGTTCTGGAGATAATCGGCGGACAGACAGACAGACAGACAGAGATTCCTGGAATTATAGTGCAGGGCCAGTCGAAAATGTGCTTGTTCGGAAGGGGCAGTTGAAAACTGCAGCTCGTGCAAACAATGCACATTATTCAATGGTGTGAACACACACTCGCAAGTTAAACGCACAAAATGTCGTCACCCCCCCCCCCCCCCCGCCCGGCACTGATATTTACCCCTACTGGACAATATGGTATCGCCCTACAACTGTAGGGCGTAGTTGTAGGGCGATTCCATATTGTATTATTAAGTTGCTCAGTCGATCGCCTACATACAGAACAGTGATGGTTGCTCATACAGAACAGTGATGGTTGCTCAGTTGACTACAAAATGCATGTGCCCGTGCATGCCACTCACGTATATGTACGTACGACATGGTGTGCAGTGCTATCGCCCTACAGTGTGCCGTCCTTTTTGCACTGTTTGCGTCATATTGAGCACGCGCGCTTAAGCTCGAACATGATGTAAACAATTGAAAAGAACCCCCATGATGTGCCCGTCCTTTTTCCATTGTTGCGTCATATAAAATTAAGCACGCGCGCTTTCGCTCGAACATGACGTTAACAATCGAAAAGGACTGCGCGTGTTCTAAGCTATAATCTGCCACGTTGAGTCTCAGAAAATACTGCTTTTTTGCAGCTTTTTTCGAGAACTCCTAGTCCAAACAACTTCAAACTTGACTTGTTCTGGAGATAATCGGCGGATAGACAGACAGACAGTCAGACAGACAGAGATTCCCTGAATTGTAGTATAGATGTTCTCATCTTCAACCTACTCCCCAGGGCCTTTTCTCGAGCCCTGGTTGTGAATAGTAAGAGAGCTAGAAGTTTTAAGAACTCCCGTTTTAAGAACTTTCAATCCTAAAAAAAACTTTTAATACTACGGACCGAAACAAAACAAAAATCCGGGCAAAAATTACGATATTTTGTTATCAACCTACTTTTTTCCGACCTTGTAGGAGGGCAGGAAATCTAAAGACAGCAGAGTTTGAAAATTTGGGAACGAGGTTGCATCTCTGAATACTTCTTCAAAACAATGCCTCGATTCAAATCCTGAAAATCTTTGATGAATTTTTCAATTAAAAAAAAAAAAAAACTGGGAAAAAATGGGGCAACGAATTTTTTTCACAAATTTTGATTTGGTTGGGAACTCGTTCACAGGACTTTCTTTGTTTCCAACCTCGTTTCAAATAGTAGATAAAAAAACAGTCTTGGGGACATTACTGTCCGACACTCTGGGAACGAGGTTGCATCTCCAGTTTATTATTTATCAAAAATTCTTTTTAGTTGAATACAACCCAACCCACCACCAAAAAAATTCCAGGCACAGTTTTATGAATATTCCATAACATTTATTTATTACTTATGACGTCAACATCAACTTCGTCCACAGGGCCCACTTATTTCCGACCTTGTTTACAATAGTTACACTGCAGTTTCTCTAGGGCGCTTACTATTTTGACAATCTAGGAACAAGGTGTTTATTCGCTTGACTGTTCATAATCGAAGTTTTACAGTATTTCTGCTACTTGACAAATAACGTTTTGCCCATTTAAATGTATTTCCAACATTTTGGGTATTAAAAACAAATGAACTTCAATGTTATCATTGTTACCACATAATTCTGAACTCAATCAATAAGAAGAGGTTATTTTTATTACCTTGAACATCATTTTCACTCATATTCCTTTTGTACAGTGGGATTCACATAATCGCACGGGTTCTTGCAATTACATTTATTAAATCTCAAGCAAGCTGAACCACATTTACAATCATAAAAAGTATCTTTTTTTTGCATTTCGGCCCTACCCAGCTCGTCGGTTTGATTGCCGTCTTAGGACAAAAATAAGCCAATTACTTTAAATTGCAAATTTTGAAAGCCTTTGCAAGATTATTTTTGTAACATAATTCAACGCTATTGCTAAAATGCAATCAATTAATAAGGCTTACAAACTTTTTTTTAAGAGAAAGAATTAAGCATTTTGTCAGTTGCTTCTTTCACCGTTTCCAGCACAAGCACAGCTGCTTGCACCTGCAGAGCCATTTCACGAAGACCACTATCATGACATTTGTTTGCAATCTGAATCCAGGCGTCTGAAGTAGTGTCCAAATCAGAAAGGACCATGTCTTTCACACTTGTTTTAAGATCTCCTGAGAAAGAAAAAAGGTGAAACAGAACAAAAGATTGCATTTTTTAAAACTTTTTTAAAGCAGTTACAAATTGATGTTTGGTTGACTAACCACCAACTTATTTTTTTTTCAAGTAAAATCTCCGAATAGAAGTAATTTTCAGGAAATAATTAGCTGACGCTGTACCAAAGTCTAAAAAATTACGACAGGAGTTGTTGAACCAATGGAACACTGAACGGAGATTTTTATTTTGTAACATCTTCAATTTTTTTTTGGAGATTGTCACGCCTGTAGGAAATTTCTACGCCTGTAGGAAATTCAGAACTTCGTACATACTTAGTTCCAATTTAATTGGACAAATATTTACATTTAGTTTTAAATTTTAACACTTTCATGGAGCTTAAGCACAAAAACGAAAACGTAAGGTTACCGCCAAAACTCCATGCGATTATTGCTCAACTAAACAACAGGTCTGTTAAATATTGCCTAACAAAACAACAGATATTTATATAACCAACATATCTGTTGCTATATATCGCAGGGAGTTTTCGCCGGTAGCCTGAAGCAAGGTTTTTGTGCTAAAAGCATGTTATGCCTAAACAGCTTCAATACAGAGATCGTAGGAAAAGTTTTTTTTCGTGATGCCCTGTTTCTAAATGACGGCAAAACATTTGCGGCCTAAATGTACAGGGCAGTCACTGTATATTTTTAGAGGAGTCTGTAGCCATGATGACAGATAGTGTTTAAGCAATTGAAAAAATTGATGTTTGGGAATGGGATACGTGTGTTACCTGGTTAACATGTCTAACAAACGATAGCAAGAAAAGAGATTTCCAATGCCTACAAATATTTGACCTCCCTTGGAAAATTACGTATAACTCTGTCAAAAAAAAAAATTATCAGATTGTTTGGCGTTTAATTTAACCAAACCTATCTAAGATCTTTCTGGTTACACATTCTACGTCAGGCATTTGCGTTATATTTTGTTGGCATTTTTTAGAAACAGTACATTAATGAAAAAATAATTGAATGACTACAATTCAATAAGTGACCTTGTAAATTCTTCTGCGATTTAACCCGGGACCCGCCAATGATAATCGTGGATCACAAACTGTTTTTTAGCTTACTTTAAAATTAAATCTGAATTTCAGGTCGAATATAATATATTTCAAATCAGAACCGGCCACAACAAAGGCTTTCACCAGTTAATATTTTCACTCTTCAAATTCTTCCAAATTCAAACGTGTTTCAGACCTTGAGAATATATGCGATTGATAATCAGTAAAAGCTGTTATTTCACCCACTGAAGGGCAAGCTAGGAGCGTCTCCCACCTTACGTTTTTACAAAGTTGTTAATGCTGTTGTTTCACGGTCATTTCGACTCGACCTGAGCGTGCAAAAAATACACGCCTGGGTAGTGTACAGGGTGGCTCCAAAAAAAAGGACACCCACTTTTTACAGCAATTTCACCTACTTAATGATCTTATATTAAATACGTTTTCACATAGTAGTAAAGTATAGACCTTAAACCATGCACGGTGAAAAAAAACTGAGTAAAAGTCGTAAAAATAGTGATATTATGCTAATTTGAATACAAGTGACCAAAATCAGTCTTGTCCACAGGTTTTCTGATGCAAATTGGACGTTTTCGTAGTTCATAAAAATTAAGAAAACCTTTCCACCAAAATATATTATGCCCTGGTAACTTTAATTGAAGCTGTCCAGTTATTCGTGTCAGTGTAAAGATCATCCTCTCAATTAGCTGTCGGCTTAAGTTTATTTTTGGCATGACATTTCATAAAATTACAATCAAATTTCATGCCCTTTCAAATAAAGCTCCAACAGCTGAGCTCAGTCAAGCGAAGGGAATTTATAGCTCACCGACAAAATGTGCAAATGCCGCGATTTTTTCATCACATTTGCCTTTAGACCAGTACTTCAATAGCTACTAATCAAAAAATAAATTTTAAAAATAGGTGAAAATTGCTGTCAAATGTGGGTGTCCTTTTTTTTTTTACCACCCTATATTTTCACTTAGATTTATAAAAGGAAACCAATAATCGACACTTGGGCTCTTTCAGGATTAAGTCACTTTGAAATGTTACCAATTTTCTTTTAAAAAAGAATTTCTCCTTTTTTAAAAATTTGTAAACGGAAAATATTATAACGGAGAAATTGTGTTCGCGAATGGCTCCCACAAAATGTGCCTTAATGGCTTCTACAAAATGAGCACTTTTTAACTGGATTTTTAACTTTTATATGATCCAAAATTTGTGATAATTCCATTTAATATCGATGCAACCAAGATCAAAGGCTTCAGTATGTAATTAATAATATTTAATTGCGAAAATTCCTGGTCTAGGTAAACAATTCAGCAACACTTAGTACAACACTTCGTACAATTCTTAGATCTTTACATGGTGTCAGAACAAGAGCATACTCCTGAAAATCCTACTGAAAACTGGAAAAAAGTAAACAGCAGTTTCTAAAACATACAAAACAACTTCAGTGGTCTCGGATCTACACAACAATACGAAGCCACTTCGTATTTTCACCACCAAAAAAAAGAACGATTGATTTCCTAAACAAAATTTACTTTTTGTTTACCAGTAGAAAATCAAGTTGTTGAAAAGAAATTGTTGCAAAACTGAAACAATGTTGAGATGTGCCACGATTAACTTATCATCATCACTGATGAACATCAAAACTCTTCTGCGTTGATGAATTTTATCAATACGCAGTAGTAACCTTTATTGCAACACCACTCAATTTCTTCCTCCCCCCCCTCGCCCCCCAAAATGGGTTGTCCACTTTTTTTGGTCCTCCATAACAGATCCAAGTCACTGGACACCACAGACAAGACAGTAAGTGATGGAGTATATTTGACTGTAACAAGAGCAAACGACCTGGAGTCCAAGAAGATAGGAACATAAAAAGCTAGAAAAAAAATAGATGACAACAAATTCAGTTTTGCGCATTGGTTTAATCAATGGTTTACAATTGAGCTAAACCAATGGTATGTTCCATGGTTTACCATCGAGTGGGATAAGCAAAGCACAGGAGACACGAGTTCACCGTTTATTGAATGATTAGGGACTTGCACATCTGTACATTTGGAAAGTTAATACAACTTGATAATCTGTATGAATTGCAGCTGCTACGTCAACATTGTGCAACAGTAGTGGGTACGATTTGACTACCAAAATTCTTTCTATAAACATTCCTCCGTAGGATTTCAACCTACGACTGGCCACGACTTGATGCTCTGTATTTATATATTAATACAATTGGTAAAACTCTCACTGAACGATCCTTATCGTCATGCTGTAATAGCTTTAACTATTGAACTCAAACGCTTCATCGGAGAAGTTGACTTCCAGGCAAAAAAAACCCGAGATATAAAATTTTTAAATGCTCTGGAAAACCTGTACCCAAAAAACATTCAGAATTCTCCTCGGCGAGGGTGTTGGGCTGCACCCTAACATAATTATACAAGTACTCACAATTTTCCAAACTATTAAAATCAAAATTTCCCAAAAATTTAAGTCTGTGTGCCTCGTGTGGAGTGCTTGATGGAACTGATTTCAAAACTCTTTTCTTCTCTATTTAAATCTTCCAACGCTCTATTATGTAACCATTCACCTGCAATGCGTTGCTCGAATTCTTAAGACATGAAAGATTATGAAAGGTTAACTCAAATAAATATAATCTAACAGAAATTTGTTCTTAAAGACCCAGTTTCTGGGTCACTTCTAACCTCTTTTCAAGTGAGTCTTCTATATATCCATCTCTACCTCTCATCCTGTTTCCAGCGCGCATGTCTCTTTAGACAGCGCTCTTGTCCCTCGTTGCTGGCCCTGGCCGTTACTCCTCCCGCTCTTAGGGAATGTAAACCTAAATCTAGGTTGGGAGCTACAGAAGATAACATCTTGATTATACACTCCCTGGCTCTTGTGTAACTTGACTTTTTATCTTTGGAAATTAGTTTACAACCATCCTTTGATCTAAAAGCGGGTAAGCTGAAGTTGTATTATCCATACCTGCAGCTGACATATATCTTAGCAACATTTTAAAAGGGCATGCTGAAGTGGAACGTTTTGAAATTACTACTTCTTTACCGCAACGATATTGATCCGTCTTGCTTTTTGTCACCGCAACAGTGAAAAAATCTCCAAACATAGTTATTCAGTAAACGTAATGAGCTCAATTCATTGAACCGATAGAAACCTGCAATGCTAAGGTTATCATACATAAATATCTAATTACCAACAAATCTGTTTCTTCAGAATTTCTATCACAAAGCTCTACTTTCATATCGGACGAAACTACATCTTTCTTCTGTGTCTTGTGACCTGTTGTGCGTTTATCGATTCGTGAAGGTTTTTCACGAATGAGTTATTCGTTGGGCCCATTCATCTCATGGGCCCATTTAATGCCGTATAATACTGATGCAATAACGTGATGAAGAAGCCCCCAAGTCAAGGAGCTCCGTTAGATACACTGCGATGAGAATTAGCTGGGCTGGTAATTAGGTGCATCTGCTCCTGGCACAAAAACTCTGCCATTTCTTGAAACTCCTGATGTATTTCTTGACCGTAGCGTCACTCTTGGAAGACATCAAGTGTTGACACATCCGGTCGTTTTTTTTGTCACCCACCACCCCCGCTGTCTCCAAAGCTGCTGAGACGTTATAACCTCAATCCTATCTGTTGGAAAAATTCAAAATCAGCATTAACATTCCCTCCAGCAATTACAATGAAACTTGAAATTCAGAAAACAAGCTTCAAAGCGATCAGCTTGAATTGTTATGGTTCATCTAAAAATATGCCATTACAACCTTGACCTTCAAGGATCACCTGTTGTTGTGGCAGTATCATACTCTTCTCTATGAATGACTTGAAATCTTTACTTTCCGCTACCTAAAATGGCCAAAACGGTACCGACACCCACATCTGAACAATCAATGTACCTTTCGCTTTTTCCACCTCCATCTTCAACAATACTCTCTGAATTAACCTGGGTGGGGGTACTAACCAATTAACTTAATTTGCCCACATCTGACCGAAAAGCGTCTATTCCTTCCGTTTCCGGACACCACCATCTAGAGTTGAACCTTTTCCACTGGTTAATTCAAATTGGATGCAAATCTATCCACGCTATGTGGTCCCCATTATTTACCAAATAATCAATACACCCATTTTTGATTGTATTTTACAATCATCGCTGTCCCTGGTTCTACTCAACAAATCAGCTTTGGTGTTGTTATTTCTTTGGATCCACTCTGGTTTGAGAATTATAGAATTCTTTTCACAAAATCTGTTCACATTCAAAGAGATGTTTTGTAAGCTGGACTTCTTACTTATTCAGCACCTGTTTAACATTTTTGTTATCGTTGAAACATCTAACTCTCTCATTCTTTAACAAAATCTCATTACTTTTGAGAACTCTGTGTACTGCCTCCATCTCTCTCCAAGTGGAGCTACTCTGGGACTGTATTTTGTCCCATGACCCTACTACCTCACTGCCCTCAACTAACTGGACCTCATCTAAGTAAATGTCCTTAGATGAGGTCCAGTTAGTTGACGCTTACCCTCTCCGACATCAATGTACATCCTGTACAATATTGTTATCCTACCTATGTCTTCTACCTCAAAATCTGAAAACTTTACAAGATCACTTATCTTATCTGCCTTGGCAACATCCGCCCTTGCTTGTACATTCGTACTTCTAATGACCGGCTTGACCACAACCCTTGCCCTTGCCGACTGTGGTACCGTCGCTGACGAAACCGCCGAAGTACGCTGCTCCGATGGCCATGACGAATATCTGGTGGTTTTCCTGCTCTTCGCCTGTTCTGTCTTGAGCTTCTTAGAGGCCCTGGCTTCAGTCCTGTACATCTTCTCATTTTCTGAATCCGAAGCAAGTGGGATGGTTTCATACTCCTTAACAATTCTCCATCTGATCCAGCTCTGATGCATCTGACATTCTGACTAGATTTTGTCTGTGATAGCTCAATACCTTCGGATATGTCTTTTGATGCTTGCTGGATGTTAGCCCCGCCCTCCAGATGTAACTCTGATCTTCACAATTCTTGCGTTTGAAGGTGTAACCATCGTTGGCCAAGATACTGCCTTGAATCTTTGTGAGCTGGCTATCAGATATTTCTTTTTGACTACTGTTTATTTTGCTTCGACGTTATTAGGCCGTCAAAGCTTTTCCAAAAGGGCAGCTTGCGAACCGGCCACGGCCTGTCGGACTCGGTCTTCAATGAATTTAGTGCTGGCGTGCGCCTGTAGCTGTTGTTGCTCAATGATGATTGCGTATGTATGCCTCGTGTGGAGTGCTTGCTAGAACTGATTTCAATACTCTTTTCTTCTCTATTTAAACCTTCCAACGCTCTATTACGTAACCATTCACCTGCAATGCGTTGCTCGAATTCCTAAGACAATTATTTCCCGCTATACTTCGAAACGCTGGAAATGTAAATTCCATTCAATGGTAAACCATTAAGTAGTACCAATGGTTTAATCAATAGTATACCATTCAGTGGATCCAATGGTATTATAAATAATACACATGGTAAACTCAATGGTATTCCAATGGTAGCGTTCCAAAACACCATTGCAATGGTTATTAATGGTATCCAATGGTAAATCAATGGTATTAAATCTATGGTTAGTTCAATGGTAATTACCATCGATAAAAACCACTGTCTTAATCAATGGTGCACAATTGCATTGGCATGAACATACGTGAATAGGGATTTGAAAAAAATCCTCTTTAATGTGTTGTCATGTGACACACAATGACGTCAATGCTAGCTATTTGTTCAGATAATGCTTCATGGGGCAGAAACAATTGCACAATAGCATAATGTTTGGCCATTGAAGGGACCTTTGTGCGTTCACGTCCCTTGATTAGTCTGTAATATGTTAATTTACCTGCTTGAATGCTACGGTATACTCTGTCCAAAAGCTGCACTCCAATTGCATAGTTCTCAGTTTGGAGAAGTTCAAATACTACAGTACCAACCGAAAGAGTAGGCTTCCCTGGCGGGCCCCTTGGCTGGATGAGGACCTCCGCGAGTGCAATTGATGGGCAGGCTACAAGAACACCCATATACATATCTAAACAAAAAAAACAAGAGAGGGAGCTCTTCAAAACAGGCAACTTTGTCCTGGTGAAATTTACTATGTCCACAGATTTAAGATTTGCAAAAATTGTTTGTTCAAAATTTCTCTTCAACATTTATGTACTGTCCTAATTGCTTTCCATCTCTGTTACATGCACATTTATACATGTGCGCCATGAGCGTCTTGCTTGGCGGATACCGGCACCTTACAAATTTTCACTATTATTATAATAGGTTTCCCGGTTATTTTAACACTTGTACCACACAAATTCCTTATATCGATACTTTAATTTCGTCCTTCAACATCGCCAAGCTCAATTCTCAATTTGAATTTCAGAAAGCCACCACTAGATTTCATTTTAGGTTCAGTATAATTCAAATTTTTAGCATACTGATTAGTCCTAAATTTGTGAAATTCGTCTCGTGTAGCACTCGGCGATGAATTGATAAAGTAATTCATTTTTTGTCATTAATTTTAATGTTGTTGACATTACATTTCACCTTTGGTGACTTTCAAACGTTACGAACAAAAAAATACGCCCAATCTTTGGCGAAATCTCTTTTTTTTCCCCGCCTGCCTTGATTGCCTTTTCATAGCCTTTTCACTGAGACAATTGGCACAACTTGTACCACAATTGGAAAGTGGCGCAATTCTCCAAATAGAACCTTTTCACAAAATCGGTCACTGTCGCTGATTATTTTTATTTTTTTACCATTCCTGTTACACTGAGGATGATTGAAGCAGACTTTCTCAGATTGCCATCAATTAAAAGGAAAAGTGCATATATGTCATCGAAGACAGCTTAAGAAAGGCTTCGTAAGAGTTATCACCATCAAAGGATGTCCAAGAAAAACTTCCAATTATATGATGTCTGATAACTTGGTGAAGTTTTGTACAAAATACCACTGTAATATAAGTTTTCCCGGCTATTTTAATACTTGTATCACACGAATTCCCCCGAACACCGCCAAGCTCAATTCTCAATTTGAATTCCAAAACTCCACCACTAGATTCAAGGTTCAGTATAATTCAAACTGTTAGCATTTTGATTCGTCCAAAATCTTTGAAATTCGTCTCGTGAAGCAATTGGCGTTGAATTGAAAAAGCAAATTCGTTTTTTTGTCATTCGTTTTAATGTTCTTGTTACATTTCGTCTCTGGTGAATTTTAATGTTTACGTTTAAAAATGTGCCCAATCTTTGGACTTGTTTAATTAAATTTTTATTTTTTAATAGCGGGGGGGGGGGGGGGGTTGATAATTGGGATGAAAATTTTGGAATATGATTGCGCCCACTTCAGAGGTGATGCATTAGGTCATTTGGGGGATATTTTGTATAGGAAGTGGGTATCTAGCATGAAAAAAAAAACCACCCCACCCAAAAAACTCAATCTGCACTGCACGCACAGTGGACAGTGAGTATTATTGCGCAATGAATGCCCTTTTTCCCCTTTTAATTGCTTTGACATTGAACACACCACTGAAGTCAGTAAGACTTTCAAAGATGAGCACATAACTGACAATTCAATGTATTAAGAACATTATTAATGCACTAATGTCACTTACAATTCAATGTATTAAGAACATTATTAATGCAGTAATGTCACTTAATATCACAAACAGTCTTGGCATAGATATACATGTAAATGTTGTATAAAACTGATATAGACCTAGGGGTCTTTCCACATACAAACGGTAACAAAATGTGACATTTTGAGGGAACTAAAGACAGAAGTCGATACATGAAGTACTCTCATGTTTTTTCCTCTTTCTACATCCCATGTCCTAGTAAGAACATTGTCCACCAACAAGTTTGATAAATTTCTCAGAATTCCTTGATACCGAATCTCTCCTCCATAAAGTAGAAGCCTGCTGCAAGTCCGTTGGTCTCTCTTAATGCAAAGAAGACTAAGTACATGGTCATCAACCCATTTACCTCTGACGACGTCACTGCACTAGGTGGTAGTAAGCTTGATAAAGTTGATGACTTCAAGTATCTGGGCTCCTACACCAACACAGCTCAATTACATGAGTGTAGCTCAAGCTTGGTCTGCTCTGTTCTCACTGACCAAAGTATGGAGACCCTCGATCTCCAAACTAAAGATCTTCAAGACCTCAGTAGAATCCATCCTCCTCTACGGTTGCGAGTCCTGGACCCTGACCAGACAGATCTCTGCATCCATTGAATGCCACCTATACACGGATGTTGCGGGCTGTTCAGAACGTTTCTTGACAACAACAACTCCCTAACTCTCTTCTGTATGGTGCCCTTCCCCCTATCTCCACCACCATCAGACAGCGTCGCCTTCAGCTAGCCGGTCACGTTAATCGACATAATGAGCCAGCTAGTCAAGTTCTCCTCTGGAATCCCGAAGCCCCTCGACGAAAAGGTCGTCCAAACATGACCCAAAAAACATCCATCGAGCTGGAAACTGGTCTGAGTGGCCCATCTCTTCCAACACTATTCTCGACAGGGACAGTTGGGCCCAACTCATCATGAAAATGAATAAATGAAGAAGAAGATGCCCCTTGAAAATGTAAATTGATGCAGACTAGGATCTGTGGTATACATATCTGAACAGTATTACAATTTATAGGGCCTACATCAAAAGTTGTTCATAATCTGCCTAAAATCACATTGTGTACAATCAATCTAATGTTGATGTACAAACAGAGCAATTTTGAGAGTTGATGAGGGAATGTTATCAGTAAAATACATAAATGAATTTTTTAGAGTTACTATAGTGTCATGTACATAGCATGTTCAATAGGCCTGTGCTGAGCACAATCAAACTTTTCTAAAAGACAAATTAAGATTGAGTGGTAATCTTTTAATTATACTGATACTTAAAGAATGATTAATTGATTTAAATGTATAGCCTGGCCATTTGTTTTGTTTGATCAAATGATTTAGGTTGAATTAAACCTGCTCTGATTAAGATTTGATTTTTTTCCCAACCAAATGAACCAAATTGTAATGCGAGTAACTGTAATGCGAGTAACCAAAACCCTTCTTTGGCTATCTTTTACTCCCTTTACTTTTTTGTTGGCTTTATTTTGGTTTCAGTGCATACTTTTAAGGTTGTGCAACTCCATGCAGTTAAATTCTGATAAAAATTGTGGGGGCAAATTTTGTATTTGACCCCAGCAAAAGTGTTGGACAAACTGTAATGCGAGTAACCAACCTTTCTCGCTGTATAATTTATATCTGATTTGGGTCTTCATTTTTTATTAACCATTTCAGTTAGGTACTATGGTAGGTGTCCTGTAAATATATTAATTTGGTCATTGCACTTTCAGTTAAAGCAGGACAGGGAATCAAAACAGAGCCGATTTTTAGGCATGTCTTTTTTGTGTAATGCGAGTAACTGTTGGTTTTTTTTTCCAAAGAGTGCCACGATCTTGTCATGGTACGATTTTTTACCATCAGGATGAAGCCTCGAATATAGGGTATATTTATGCAGCATAAGAGATAGATAGTCCGACTCCTGCTAAAACCACAGCAATCGGAACACGAAAGGGTGCAAAAAAGTGTAATGCAAGTAACCGTGGAATCGCCCTGCATGAGAAAGATGAGTGCCAAAAGTTGCCTCAAGAAAAAATGTGCTCAAAGGTCCAAGGAATTTTGCATTGTACGAAAAGCAGAGGAAGAAGAAAAGAAAATCAGAACAAAGAGAAAGGCTTTTCCACAGCCCCTAAAAAAGGTTTCCGGAACTAAAAGTAACCACGTTGCTGTTTGCAACCCCCCAGACAGAGTCCAGTTACCATCCAGAAACCACTAACTTCACCACTGTGACCTTGACCTGATGAATCAAAAACGAATCCTGCTCAAGTTAAAAATCCAAATCTCTTTGCTAACTCAACTTATCATCTGAAAACCAGTCACCTTTGACTCGCCATTGTGACCTTGACATTTGATATTTTGACCCCCAAACGAATCCCAACTTGCCTGTACCCAAGGGCAACCCCCTACCGAAGTTAGACACCAAAATCTCACTTCTAACTTGCATTTTATACCTTAAACCAATCTCTACTTGCCTACTGCAAAGGACAACCCCTACCCAAGTTACAAACCCAAACAACATATTAACTCAAATTATCATCCAAAACTAAGCTGTCCGGACTTCCCAGCCAGATGGAATTCCGGAGTACCTCCATTGTTGTCCAATTGTCCCTATTTCTAAAGATTTCGATGTGGGGTACCCTTTTTTTCTAAAGATTTTATTTGTGGAGTACCCCACGAGTGGTCCAGGGTAAGGGCGGACGCCTGGACGAACATCCGCCCTGACGGTCGACAGAGGGATGCCCGGAAACCCTGACCAACGGTCGTAGGCAATGACAATACCTCTCCAGCCTTTTGGCTAAGGGGTTAAAACTACTTCAGGTTACTTACACATGTAGGTCCAACGATATTTACATTTGTTCATGATTTAGGAAGATTCCCTTCCCGATACAACCCAAAATAAAATCTAAAAATATTTTGATTTCAATAAATTATGATAAACTTTAACAGATTTGTTGGTCAAGATTCTTATTGCTCTTAGGCTTAGTGGAACATCTAGTAAACTTGGCAATTTACAGACCTCACCTTTCTCAAATTCTGCGTTGATTGCATAATCCATCATGGCTTGCACTTTCCCCTGCTTGCACATACATACAGCAGCCTGGATGTGAGCTTCAACCAAAGTATATACAGCTTCGGCCAGAGGAAGACCTTTACTAATAATTCCTGCACCTTTTCCTTGTGTGTAGTTGTAGAGAAGATGACCAAGAGGCTCCGAACATGTCAACCTGTGACACAGAAGTAAGTAAAACAACCAATCATGTACATGTATTGCATTGCTCACTTCTGTTCCAACAATGACAATCATTAGAATTAATTTGTAATGCAAGGACAAAACAATTGTATAAAATAAAATGATGTTTTTTTTTCATTGTATTATAGATTGTGCGAAACAAAAGTTAAGAAATGGAATGCATGAACGAATTAGAAGTTTGAAAACGGAAGTAACATTCCTTGACAACGGAAGTAATATTCCTTTTATTTTCTAATGGAAAAGAGATATACAATACACAGACACGACAGTCGACCGCTGTTAATACGACCTCTTGTACACTATAAAAAAATTCATTTTATCTTATACCTTGTATAATGCATTGCAATGATTTTTTTCCCACTCATGTACAGAGTACAAGTTATATGTTCCAAATTATTCAATGTCTGTAAATGTATAATGAATTGCAATGTGTAATAAATGAAATAAATATGAAAGTAGAGTTGTAAAACTTGTAATAAAGAAACAAACAAAACAACACCCGACTGGACGTAAAGGGCAACCGAGAAAAAACCATGCTTGCACGTCCATTGTACTGGTACCCGCTTCTGCACATAAGTACACTGTATTTGGGAACCATTCTTCTGGAAATAATAAGTCTTATACAGAATTAGATTTTCTAACATGTTCACTTTGAGTCGCTGTGATCGACATCTTTTTTTCGCATTTTGTTGTCTTTATCATCACTTTCCCAGAAAATTTAAAACCCTGCCCTCTATCTTTGGCATACATACCGGTATGTTGAAATTTAGCAATTGTTGAAATTTGTATAGAATTTTTTTTTCCAGCATTATTATTGCGCTCTTCTTGTTCTTCGTTTAATTTTTTTTTTTTTTTTTTTTTTACAATTGTTTTTCACTGCTTTGTAGATGTCATTCGTGGTTAAAAAGGTGCACAAGCACTCCTCTAACTTGGACTTGCATTTACAAAATAATCCAAGTCAGAGGAAGCGGGATCATATATCTTTCTTTTTTTCAATTGTTTAATTGCATTCAAATATTGGGTAGCATTTCTAATCAAACAAAAGCCAGGTGTAATTATCCATTGTTTGTTTGTAACAAAAACCCCATGCAGCTTGGACCCACCGTAATAAAAGTCCCTCTGGCGGCACGCCACACACAGCAAGTGCATATCTTAAAACTGCAGCGCAGGATTAATGAACGGAATAGCATTGGTGCAATTATTGTTGGCAACCTTCCTTCTGAATTCACTGGGATCGAGTAAAAGGTGTTTTCAAATTGTCTTAGTTGTAAACATGTTGATTAATGCTTTTCTATGTAACCGGGCTGATGTTTTTTCATAGCAACTGTTTTCTCGTCCCAAACATGCTTGTAATAATCATCTCAACTGTATATCATTTAACCTTAACTGGCTAAAACACTGTCAAGTGGGGTTCACTAAAATGCATGAAAATGACATCGCACATGAACTACACATGCACTGAGTTAATTACACAACATCCTTACTTGAAATTTTTTGTTACTGGAGACAGCAACCTGTGGGGGTTGTCAAGGCTCATTCCAAAAAAGAAAGTTGCATTTCCTGTCGTTAACAGAATCTTAAAAAGTTCAAAATTGTATATGAATGTTTGACAAGTAAATACACTTACTTGATCAGCATAGTAAAGCGGCCAAATGTGGAAAAGTGTTCTAGATAATAATTTCACAGCATTTTTTGGAAATAGCTGGCATCCATGCTAAATCAATTCTTTGAACCATAATAAACAAGATGTGGGTGGATGCCACCGTTAATTTTTACCCTAAATATACTTCATTTGCATGAATCTTTAATACCTGCCGTGTAATATATTTTTGCCCTTATTTGGGTATACTTTTATTTTTTGAACTTATTTAAGTCAAGTTTACAGACAGCCAGCTCGTTTTTCCCCGCTTTTGTTTGCTGAACTACATATCACAATGTTATCATTGTTCACATGATTTTCCATATTCCATTCTAATAAGAAAAATTTGTGCCAGTTAGCAACTTGCTGAATTTGAAGCTCATCAATACTGAGGTTTGGAGACAAGGTAAATGCACGCAATTGTGGGTAAAATAGTAGCCATTTTGGATCGTTACTATGTCTTCATGATTATTCAATGACTTATATGCTTAAGAAAATGTCATTTAAGTAAGGGTGTGTAATTAGAATCACCAAAATAAACTTTTCAAAAAAATATAAAAGAAAGAATATGCCCAAATATGGGAATAAATACAGTACACTGCAGGGATTAACAATTTATGCAAATTAGGTATATTTAGGGTAAAACTTAAGGGTGGCATCCACCAACGTTTTCTTCTCCATCCTTTGACTGATTGATCTGACATGGTTGCCCGCTTTTTCCACAAAATGCTGTCCAAAGTGTAATACTCCACTTTGGCTGTTCCACTAGCAGGTACTTGTTGAGTTAAAGCTGAACACATTTTTTTTCTCTTGACTGTGGTGTGTTAAAGGGACACTAGGTCCTGGAATAGCCCAGTTGGGCTACAAAACGCGCTTTGAACGAGATGATGATGATCGGAAATAACATTTAAAAGTAGGATATAAACATCCACACAACTATCCTTTCAAAACTGGGCGTTTTTGTGTTATTCCTGTATTATGCGTGCGAGAACGAATTTCGGGTCCACTTTTGCGACCCCATAAATTCGAGCTGTTTGGATGCTAGTTGTTATTTCATTCGTACGCGTTAAGTGTTCGCCTTTGCAGACGTTGAAGAAACCACAATTGTTTGCATTGGTGATTGGTCACCACGCGCTGTTCCCGAGACACACAACATGTTATAGCGTACACTGAGAACGACACGAAAAACGTATTCGTACTCCATCATGTCCAATGTAAACAAGCGGGTTTTTTGGGTCTTTTCTCGGGAACGGTAAGACATTAGGTTGGTTTCCTTTCAACCAGATGTTTGAAATAGTCTAAGTAAACAATCCAAAACATAAAATTTTCAGAGATTTGAGGACCTAGTGCCCCTTTAAAACCCATACTAAGTGGCATTAATCGCTAATGGTATCGTGCCTATGTGCTCTGTGCACAAGAACCCCCTCAACGGTAAAGAAGGGAGAGTTAGGGGAGACCACTTTGAATTACATTCAAATGCATTCCGATAAAGCCTGATGCTCAAGCAAATATGCTATTGCATTGTGCACATTCACAAAACAACTCAGTTCTAAAAAACACACATCTCGCCTACTTTACATCTTGACCTCGGATGACCTTTGATCATGGTATGTGACCTTTGACATCTACAATGTGAAAACTGTTGCATCTACATGTATGATTCAAGTTTTGTTATAATTGAACTTAAACTTTTGAAATGATACGATTCCCCAAAACTGTAACAAAATACCACATACGTATTTACTACATATGTACAGACATAGTGATTGCATAGTCTCTTTCCTGAACAAAGTCCAGGCGGGCCGAAAACTAGTCGTACGTGCCTCGCGCTATAGGGTGGTTAATAGACCCTCTCTTGATCGTGCATGGAGGCTCCCTCTTGTGGTCATGTATGGGCTCCATGATGGAGCCCATACATGACCACAAGAGGGTCCAATTTCCCCTTGCTGAAAGGCCACAGATAATAGCTTCATGATACCATGGGTTTAAGTAAGTAGGAAACCAAGTAAATTTTGTTCACACAATTCTTGGTATAATAAAACAAATAATCAAACCTTTCTTGCAAGAGCCAATGCATCACAAGATCAAGCCTATCTTCGGAAAGGGCACTCTTAACACACTCCAGTGATGTTTCTGCATCAGGCGGTGAACCAACAGCCGGTACTGATGAAATCAAAGCCTCACAATATACCAGAAGAGGTGGTAATTTGCCAGTCCTAGCATGAATTGCTTCAAATAAAAGAAAGGCAAACATAATAATAAATAACGTATCACTCATGTACCCCAATTTAAGGGTAAAGAAACATTTTGGGACAATTCCAGTTACGTGCATTACATTCTGTGAGTGCTGTAATCTTCATAGTTGCTGGACTGTCAATTTTCTTTTAATTTTTTTAAAACATGCCAATATTCAAGGCTTTTCCCTGATGACATTCAAAAGTTGAATGTTCCATCATTTAAGCATGGCACTTTTTGAAAGTACAGTTACTCGCGTAACACAAAATGGACATGCCAAAAAACAGAACATGCCAAAATCTGATTTCTGAAATAAAATTGCAACAACTAAACTAGACTTATGTTTGTAAACAAACACATGGCTGTTTTGGCATTTTGTTAATGTATGTTCAAGTCAAGTTATAAACTGACGTAGGCCTTCCTTAGAAAAATTAACCTCTAATATGACGTCCATGACGTCTACATGACGTCACTTCAATTTTCATCTATAACACTTTACGGTTTAGATACATAACCAACTTTCAACCCAATCGGACCTGACGTTCTGTAGATATAGGCATTCAAATATGCACTTTTTGATATGATGTCACATGTCATGTGATGACATCTCACTGCCTGCATCTCACTTGTTTCTAGTGCCGATAATCTCTTCTGAATATCATTGAACACAGTCAAAAGTTATGTATTTTCACAAGAATCATGTTCTGCAACAGACATTTTGTGACAATTTGTCATTTTTCTTTACGGCGTTGAAAGCCGGATCATCTGACCTGAATAATTAACAGAGCATAGGTCATGAAATCCAAGCCTGTTCCATTGTAATTACTGACATTTGTGATGATGTCATATGACCAATGATGATGTAGCCATGACATCACTCTTCGGAACACAACTTTGCAGTGAGGACAATGCATATGCTTAATTTGAATGATATATGACAAATTTGAATGCCAAAAGTTGTGGGTACAAAAACTGTGTACAAAGTCTATGGGATTTTGCATGGACTAAAGAAAAAAACTATAAAAAAAAAACTAGAGGTTGTAGGAACAACCACACGGTGTTGGGCCATGGATTACCGCAAACTTTGCCACACACATCAACTCAAAATATACATGTTTAAATCCATGTTTGACTTTTCAACATGCCGCCAGAGGGCACTCTAACATTTGATGACGTCACCTGTAAAATTGTTTTACAGTACTGCCTAGGCAGACACTCGAATCGTTGAAAGCAAGTTCGCATCTTCTGCCAATTTAAATTAATAAGGCACTTCCGGTTTTGACCGGAAGGAAGGGTCACGTGATTTTGCACTTAAAACCAAAAATGAAGACCCTGCAATATTTTATCGATTGCCATATAAAACAAAATCAAATCTGTAGCAGTTGATTTCATATTGATTTTCAAAGATTAAATATGGAAATATTTATTTGCTTGTAATATGACACTTGATGACGTCATTGTGACATCATCGCCAGAAACCTCCAGAGCTATATTTACTCTGCTATATATAGCCACATCTTGATTATATCTCTCACGGTTGATTTTTTAGCAATTGTTTAAGGTTTAAAGGTCTTTTCTTTATAACTTCCGGTCTGATGACGTCATCCATCAAATTTCGTCACATACATCAAGTGATAATGCGTTTTCGACATTTTTTTAACTGCCGCTAGAGGGCGCTCTAACATTTGATGACATCACCTGTAATATGTTTGTACAGTACTGCCTAGGCAGACACTCACATCGTTGAAAGCAAGTTCGCATCTTCTACCAATTTCAAATAATAAGGCACTTCCGGTTTCGACCGGAAGGAAGGGTCACGTGATTTTACGCGCACAGGATAAAATGAAGATCATGTATTACCATGTCGATTCCTGCAAATTTCAGGTTCCGGTCTCTCACGGTTGATTTTATATGGAATTGCAAAGATTAAATTTATTAAACTTTCGAATGACGTCACGTGACCCATGATGACGTCAAGATGATGTAATTACAAAAAAGACCATCTGCGGTGGATCGGGCATTTCATGTATTGACAAATGAAGTTCATATATGTTTCCATTTCTCCAAACAGTACCGGAAACGAATTCCTGAGAATATGCTAAGAAGAATACAAATAGTAAAATCTTACAAAAACAATAGGTATTGGGCTCAAGGCCCAACACCTAAAAATCAGAACAAAAACAACTTTAGGCTTTTTTGCAAATTTGCAAAAAAGCAACAATATCAGAACAAAAACAAAAGCTTTTTCGAAAATTTGCAAAAACCCCCAAAAATAAGCACTGAAAAGAAAACAAAAACTGTTTCAGCAAGTTTCTGAAACAGCCAATAACATGTAGTATTTTAAAAGTTGTCTTCCATACTAAATTATACAAGTGGACACTGCACAGCACAGCATCGAGCATGCAATGTATGATTATTCCTTTCCCTATTCATAAGATGGAATTTTCGTGTCTGGTTGATATAAATCAAATTAGGTTTTGCCCTTACACCGACGTATAAACACTATATACTCATTGTGTTACCTCCCGAGTAAAAATTGGAAAAAAAATCACTCGGGTGGGACTCGAACCCACGACCTCCTGCTTTCTAGTGTAGACATCTTACCACTCAACCACCGAGCTAACGGGATCGGTTGGCTGGTTCAAATCTGATGTACAAAGCAACGGGTACCGCATTCACTATTCATAAGATGGGATTTTTTTACGTCAAGGTGATATAAATCAAATTAGGTATTGCCCTTACACCAACGTATAAACACTGTATACTCAGTGTATTACCTCCCGAGTGAAAGTTGGAAAAAATCACTCGGGTTGGACTCGAACCCATGACCTCCTGCTTTTTAGCGCAGATGTCTTACCACTCGGCCACCGAGCTAACGGGATCGGTTGGCTGGTTTGAATCTAATGTACATAGCAGTGAGTACTGCATTCACTATTCATAAGATGGAATTCTTGCATCGGGGTGATATAAATCAAATTAGGCTTTGCCTCACACTGATGTATAAACACTGTATACTCAGTGTGTTACCTCCCGAGTGAAAGTTGGAAAAATAAAATTTCTGTAACACACAGTGTTTAAAAAATAGACGTTGCCAACTATTTTGTTCAACAATTTGTTGTTCAACAATTTGACTTCAAGTTTTATGAAATACCCCTCAGACTTTAATATAGAATGTCCCTCTACAACTCCTCACCTTAGAAGACTGGCGTGCACGTCGCACCTACTGTGCGATGTCGCGCAAAACGCAGCTGGGCTGATGTAGTGTGAATTTTGGACTATATGAAATACTATTTTACTGGTAGTATTGCGCATGCCTACGTGAGGAATGTTCAACCAATGAAACATTAAAAGGCACCCAATTTCATGGGATTCCAAATCTCATGTGACACTGGGTGAGTGTATAGGACCAGCCAGCCATCTCTTTATCATCCATTTAAGACCGGCCACGTGACAATGGAAAATTTGTAGACACTTCTGGCCCATCACTATATCAAATTACCAACTGTACAGGAACAGAAATTCAAAACGCACAATAGCAGAGATAGCTGGAAAAAGATTAAGGTGGCTTAGTAAAGTCTTCATGATGATCTAAAATAGTACTTAAAAAAAACAGCACTTCATTACAACTTAAGGCGCAGACAAAAGACTATTTTTAGAAGAACAGTGCAAGCGGAACTTCAGAAGATGAAACTCACCCGGGCAGAAACAGAAAAGAAGGCTAAGGATATTCCACACTAATGGGCCCAAAAGGTGACATTTGAGAAGACCTTTAAGTTTTCATGATAAAACTACGATCATGGTCTCTCAATTTTTGCTGTAAATATTGCAAGCTTCGAACAAATGTCCTCACCTGCAAATGGTTTAACTGGTTTTGTATTTTAGAAAATATAGTGGATATTGTTTTTAAAAGTGTTACGTATGTAACGAAGGACAGACATTTTAGATAAAGTCACAAAGTAAGCATAAGTTTAATGATCCCCTAATGTTGACTTATTTTTAAGGAGATGTACCCTGGAGGTATGCTTATCAGTCAAAACCTAGAAAACTCAGAGTCAGTGTGAAGAATTATTTGATATTTTATAATCAGGATTTATACATACGAACAGACAGGACATTTGTCACAAAATGTCTGTCCCTGTTCGTACGTAACCCTAATCACATCATAAATTTGAAGCTAGAGTAAAAACTGTTATATTGTTGCTTGATAACAATGTAAAATGGCTTAATAATGTCACTGGAAGTGCCTATTAGAAACTGAATTTGTCCTAAGCACCCTTTTCCTAGCAGTGTGTCTGTCCACATTACATACGTATCACACAGAAAAGATGCCTGTTATTTTCAAACAAAACAAGGTATCATCTATTGTCTTGTCTTTTCCTAGTCACTTTCAACTTAACAAGGTATAGGAAAAAAACCTGAAGAAAATACTAGCTCATCTTTTACCCTTTATACGCAACACCCATAAACTTATCTAATTGGCCCATTAGTGTGGAAATGCCCATTACTGAACTGAGAAGAAATTTGGTTGCAGCTTTATCTCCAACACACAACTTGGCACAAAGTTATTTTACATAGAAAAGTGGGCATGAACAAGTGACGTAATGATGATGTCATAAGTGTTATGGATCATGCAAAAAAGCAGTGTTGTAGTCGAGGCCACAACCTCCGAGGCCGAGGCCAAGGCCGAGGCCACAACCTCCGAGGCCAAGGCCGAGGCCACAACCGCGAGGCCAAGGCCAAGGCCGAGGCCACCACCTCCGAGGCCAAGGCCAAGGCCGAGGCCAGCTATCAAAACACGTAATAAAATATAAATCACTAAAACAAGGCTAAGATTATGTTGGAGTTTTAACATCTTTTAGTTGAATTCACTGAGTTTTGGAGTGCCTGGCTTACAAATTTACAGTTTGCAATGGGTTTCCTCTTGTAGAGAGTCCGGCGAATTTTATTTTTTAAAGAAAGAAATCTCAAGTTTTGTATCACTGAAAGCAAATTACACAACAAAATCAATGGCGTTTGAATCAGGCTCATAGGTGTTTGCCCTTTGGAGATACAACAATTTAAATGGCCAAATTTTGAGTTTCTATTCTGTAAGATTTACATCATTTACTTTTAGCATGTTTTATAAATCTTATTTTCAAAACCTATCAAAATGCTTAATATCATAGGAATCCCCATTAAATAAACAACAACTTGATTTTTGAATCAGGTTTTTACCACTCATAACCAAAAAGTTACGACCATGACCCCCGACCTTCGCACTGTCCTGGCGCGCGCCGAGCAAACACCGCGATGCGACCAGACAATGCCAGACGGCCCGCCGTTACGCACGGGCAAAGCATAGTTCCAATCCCGCTCCACACAACGGGATAAGTGTCCACGCATTATCACTGTTAATACCGCGGTACCAGACAAAGTCTGGCAATGGCCAATCCTGCTCCAAACAACACGGCAACACGGACCATGCGTGCATGATATCACTCAGTTCATCAAAATGACCATGAATTCTCGGATCATCCGATTTGAATCCAATGGCTTCGAAGAATGTTAAGATCATGGCAAGAGGTAGGGAGTCCACAGGTTTTGGCCGTATATCTGTAACCACGCAAAATTAGTCAATATCAAACCGTGCTTATACATGTAATAAGTATCAACATGGCTCTAAAATACAAAAAGTATCCTGGTACCACGAGGAATACTGACTCGTATTATTAAAACATTCATTCAGAACTTTGCATTCATTTGGATGGAAAAACGAATTCTGAAATTGCGCTTTCCATATCGACCATTTGCGCCAAACATTACTGTGCGAGCTGGAACTTTCATTTAAATCACCGTGTAAAAATAAAATCCACTTGATAAATCGTAATTGTTTTTATCATATCTTTATGAAAACAAATGCTACGGACTAGTACACTCGATCGTACCCAGAAAGTTCAGACTTTTACTGAAACAGTGGCCTATAAAAAGAAATGATCAAGCTTGCCGCACCTTGCCGCAATTCATTTTTAAAGGTCGGGGTACAGAGGCGAAACGAGAAAATTTTGTACAACACTGCAACCAGACTAGTCTACTACCAAATGTTATTGTACGCAAATGGGATTGGTGCCAGACTTATGTAGTCTGGCACGCGGTAACAGTTATAACGCTTGCAAGCACGTGGAAAGCTGAAGCGCAGGCTAGGCGAAGATGCTACGTACGTGGGTACGTTCAATGCAACCATTTCCAGTTCATTTGTGCGTACATTGTATATGCGTTCGTTTCACGGAACCCACTGCGGCAGAATCTCGAGGGTTTGATTCGGTAAAAAATTAAAATTAATTAGAATAGAAAACACATCAAAATGGGCGGCCTCGAGCCAGCCTCGACCGATTCGCCGAGGCCGGAAGGCTCCGAGGCCGAGGCCAAGGCCGAGGCCTTGCACCTCCGAGGCCAAGGCCGAGGCCAAGGCCGAGGCCGAGGCCATGAAAATCGGCCTCGAGGCCGGCCTCGAGGCCGAGCTCGAGACCTCCAACACTGCAAAAAAGACAAGGCCCATCGCCATGAAACTTTGGAAAGACATTACAACACTCAAAGTGATGTCTTGATGGACCTGATCAGTCTATTTGTTTGAATCAAATTTTTAATGAGAAATATACTTTTTTTAACTGCAAATATTGTCTGTGAACACGGAAATTGACTGGAGTGGGGTTTGAACCTGCGACCTTCCTTTGTGGCTCATTTGAAAACCCTGTAATAAAAGCTGTAGGCCTATCCTCTTTGAGTGATCCCTGTTTGCTATTTCTCGGTTTTGCAGCATTGCTTATGTTGCTAGCATAATGACTTTGGTGTTATCCCTGGCTAAATGGAACATATGGATTTTTTTCTCCTTGATATAAACCTCTGTGGGAAGTGTCATTCGTTTATGAAATGTGGGCACAATTTTTTCCAAGGTAAGCATAATAATTACCCCCTTTCTTAAATGGCTGCCACGCCCCCAAAAAGGTGCTTTTGTGGGGCTCCACATCTGGAAAACACTTATAATCTATATAGTTATGTCTTTGTGAAGTTTTGTGACAAGTGTGAACAATGTTTTCACTGCGGCACGATAAGTGTCCCCTCCCCCTTTTTTTAAATGGCTGCCGAGCCCCTAAAAGGGTGAATTTGCAATAGCTCCACATCTAAAACATTATCATTAATATAAACACATGTGCCAAGTTTCACGCTTTTATGAAAAAGTGCACAATTTTGTCACATATCCACTGGAGTATTATGGCTTCTGACTAGCAACCCTTGAAAAAGGACATCGACAGACTGTGCCCCCCCCCCCCCTTAGGTGGTAGAACACTGGTATGGCAATTTAAATCAGTATGCCGATCTGCAGCATGGGCATTGTGAAATTCAGTCTCTGGTAAAAAGGAATGACCATTGTTCAGTGTGTAGCTTACATTTGTAAACCAAAATGTCTATTTTAAACACTTTGTCCTACCTCTGAAACGAGAAAGAGTCTCACAGTTCCTCAGTATTCCTTTTGGACTGCTTGCTGCATGCATCACAGCATCTTTGTATTTTCCTTCTTCAAATAATTCATTAAAGTGTTCAATATATTCAAGCAGCATCTCAGCTTCTCGTTCTTTACTTGGGTCATCATCATCAAATATAGAAGATATGACATCCCCACCTGCATAAAAGGTGACAAAAGAAGAATACATTTTTGGTTGTCACTATTATGGTCAAGTCGATTATGACAAAATGCAAATATTATACAGTACATAATATGTGTACAGATTAAAGGTGGATTCCTGATGTGGTTCTTAAAAATTAATAGGCCTATTACATGCTTGGCAATTTCTACTTACAGAACAACATGGGAACAACATGAGTTACGTTGGTCTTTTATCAATTCCATTCTCACCAGACACAGATTGCCACTTGTAAATTACAGGATTTCTAGTTCACCTCATGGCTGGAAAATATTTTGGCGGTTTTCATGTCGTGAGACACTCTTCACTGTTCCATTATCAAGTCAAGCAAGCTCCATGGTGCTGTTGGAAATAGATCTTTACGGGTAAATGGCTAGCTCCCTTTACAGTATACCGCATAGAAGAAGTACTGCACTATGAAACAGACAAGTGCATTAAGACAAGTGCTGTTAAATTCTTGTCCATAACAAGAACTGGAATTCCTTCAGCAATCAAGGTGGCGAACTGTGTCTGTTATTTTCTTTATCATGATTATTATAAATGGCTTAATCTTAATATTTTGCATACAGTAATTTCATGCACAGGCTTCAAAAGAACACATTTCTTTTCGGGAAAACAATTGAAAACATACAAATAGCTCCGAAGTGTCCAATACACAGTGTTGTTGACTTGAGTCGCTGACTCGGAGTAGAGTTGGACTTAAGTCTTTTTTTTTTTGGACTTGAGACTTGAGTTGACTTTGGGAAAAATTACTTGAGACTTGACTTGACTTGAAAAAAATATGACTTGGGACTTGACTTGACTCGAATAAATTTGACTTGCTGACATTAACATGTTCTTAAAGTTACCCAAACAATAAAAAAACACAAACCTCTGGGCGTTTGTGCGCAATAGCATAATTGGTTGAAAAGAATCATTGATATACATAGCGAATTAGCAACCAGCATGGGATAGCTGGGAATCCTGAGCCTGCCACATGTCATGTACGTGACTAGCACCATGCGTGTGTTATGGTGCAGTTTGTGCCATGTGTAGTCTGAGCGGTCATTCCACAGAGACCATAGGCTACAGGTACACATCGAGTGGTTTACCTTTAGCGTGCTAAATGCAACTTGGGTTTAAACAACTGGAAAACGGTTGCTACCCCCAATCCATCATAAAACAAAAAGAATATACATCATGCATAAAATGAAAACGTTCGGAAGGACATTTTGTCAGACGTCCTTCAAACATTCAACATGATGGAACAAATTTGAAAATATTATATCAAAATGCATTTTTTAGACTCTTTAAATACAAATAAGGTGTTTGAGAAAAGATGTTTGAAAAAGTATTATATTTTTATTAATCTCCTTACATGATGCATGCTTTGATAAACCCCGTTCCCATCTCTACTATGACTCCGTCATCAAACACATAAACTGGTTCCTGTACATATAGTATGTGCATCTAATATTTAAAAAACAAATTACTTGAGACTTGACTTGACTTGGAAAAAAACTGACTTGAGACTTGACGTGACTAGCTAAAATTTGACTAGGGAATTGATTTGACTTGGGAAAAAAATGACTTGGTTACAACTTAATACATGAAATACTTTATGACAATCCTCCGCCGCCATTTGCTGGAGTTCAATTTATCCCAAAGGGAGGGAGAGAGAGGTCAAACAGCGGTTAGTGCCATTAAAGTACATGTAGTCCTTTGCCAAAATTTAGTTTTGTTCGTTTGGAGGGCAGAAATAAATAGCCCTCAATGTCTGGCATGTTTGGGCGTTAGTTGCATTCCATTTCTTTCTTAATCTGACTATTGAGGTCTTGTGTACTGATGCGTGTACTGCTATAAAAAAGGATAACGAATGCCAAGCCATTGCATTCATTTCAGGTCTATGTATTCACCGCTGAGTATCGTACCATTTCTAACCTATCTACACGTGAAGTTCCTGTTTTGCTGGTTTTCTTTAATTCTTTTATTTGCAGACTTGTTGTGTGATATGTTTTCAACTGTGACATACACGGACAGTGGTGCCGCGATTGCCTTTTTTGCCACTGCTCCCGGAATCTAGTCACACCGGGTTCAACCTGAAGCACAAACACCAGGCACTCCCCGATTGAAGGACCCGAGTCTAAGAGCTACCACTAAGAGCTACCAATGCAGCAAGGGTAAATTCATCCATGGGTTTAACAGAAATTTGATGTTTGGTCATGTGAATCCAATTATTAGCAAATAGTTGTTGGCCGCACTGTTCATGTATGTATATTTCTTGTTAATATTTTCAAAGTATTGGCAAAAATGTTCAATGGAAGTGGGCAAAACAGCATGCAAAGTATGCTTGATTTTTATGTTTGGATGGCAAGCGATTTCCTGCAGACATGACGTCATAGGGCACGCAGTGGATGCTTGTCCAATTCAGATTGTTTTCAAATTGTGCTTAATGTCAATATACCAGATGCCATTTTGTATTTTGTTTTCTGGTGATGATGTGCTTACAATTTTTAATTCTGAACATTTAATACCTGTATCTAGCAGTCAACACAGCAGTTGGTTACAATGTGATACGAAAAGAGTAATGAATACACAAAAGGAGTCCGAACAAATATAAAAGATAAATATTTGCTTTTGCCAGTTTCTGTAACAAATTGTCGGGTCGGTTAATGGAAAGGTTCTTAGCCTCCAAGTTTGCATAATCGATTACATATGTACTTCATCTACCACAGATAAAGCTGAAATCAATGTAAGATTTATTGTTACGGCCAGGAAGTTTTGAATTGTTTTTCCAATCCTCTTATAGGGACAAAGCGCATAGTACGAGTGGGTTCAATGTTTTAATCTGCATGAAAATGTTCTTTTCTTATGTAGAATACCTTTACAGACAAACAACACAAGACAAAGATAAACAAACTAACAATACATTACAAAATCACGAGAACAGATTGTAAGTATAGTATAATAAGGGAATAACAGTGTGAGGAGCCGGTCTTCACTGCGTGATAATGACCGGGTGTGGGGGTGACCGCTGTTAATGGATCGAGACGAAGTCGAGGCCCATTAACAGCGGTCACCCCCACACCCGGTCATTATCACGCAGTGAAGACCGGATCCTCACACTGTTATTCCCATTAATAAATACCTTTTGAACGAAATAAACAGTTAAAATGCTCCAATTTTGTGACTTTTTTCCGGCGATATTTCCAGACTTTTTTGTGTTCATGTTCATGGGCCATATTTTAGCTTAACAGCTATAACGACGTAAACTCAACAGAAACTGCAGCCGTAGCGAAACAAATTACAACAATGTTTTCATATCTTTACCTGATGGAGGAAGCTGAAATCTCGTTTTCCTTGTGTCCGGAATTACAAAGATGCTTGGTTTAGGAAAGGTAAATATGTCGGTGGGTGAAGTGTTTCAAAGAAAATAAATCATAGATCTACGCTTTCGTCGTAAACATCCTCAGTATATACTGCACTGCTGTACGATGTCGTTTCAAAACTTCCTTACGCACGTGCACGCACGCATCCCTGGCAACTGTGTTGCGTACGCGCGCGTCAGTCTCACGCGATGGGGGTTGAGCGCATGTGCAGTGCTCTATTGCTACAAGCTACCGCAGGACTGTTACTGTATTTTGACCAATCATTGGCTTGCATGGGGCTGAACGGGGCTTGATCAATGCTGGTTCAGGGGCCATTTATTCGCTTATATCTTTGAAGCCGGTCCATTATCACCGTTAATGCCCGGCCACGTGATCGAGTCTGGACCAATCAGAAACCATCAACTCTCCAAGGTATTTATTAATGATATATAAAGCACAAAATAAACAAATAATTGAAAGGGCATTGTTTAATAGAGAGAATGAGCTATGATAGATTACAGGAAACATTTTTTTTCATGCATTTATTTGAAGCAACCTACAGAATTTTGGAATAACACTGAATGTGTGATGAACAAAATGTTTATTTTTATTCTCAAACCTGAAAAGATCAGGCGATTAAGAGAGCAAATAACTCTTATTTGTTTATATTGAAATACATGTACTTTAAAACAAGGATCGATCACTCCAGTAAAAATTCTGAGAGAAAACAGCGTCAATTGATTGAATGAATTTCACTCTGACTTGACTTGGACCTATGTACATGTAGTGAGGGTCTGGAGTACTTTTTAAGTTGAAGCGTCCTCCAAATTTGTATTTGCCTGATCAACATGAAATTTTGTGACTTTTCCCAACTTTTTAACAGTGGTCATTATGGCACCAAACGCACTTCTGTAGTGTGTTCATTATTACCAAAAACATCGGTGCTCATAAACTTTAGTCAAAAATACTTCCATTTTCAAAACCTATCAAGTATTATCTTTAGACTGAAATTCATGGCTACATAACTTAGTTATATCCCTTAAAGCCATTTCTCCGTGTGGAAACTTACTTAAGTACATGTTCTTGACCTTCTACAGGGATTCTCCTGATAACATAGTTATTTCCCTTAAAGCCATTTCTCCCTGTGGAAACTTACTAAAGTACAAGGTCAAGAACATCATAAAGTGTATCGACATGGCTACATAATTAACAACAATACATGCTCATGCAGAGTAATGTGGCTGCCATTGGTGCGAAAAGCCCATGAAATTTTCACCTTTCTGATAGTTATTACATGAATCACTTGCATTATTACATGAATCACTATAGTCCATCATTTGTAATTTGTGCATTTTGTTCGTTTGAAGCAACAAAAGTGCTCAAAATCTCTAAAGAAGGGTGCTGAACAACTAACCTGATGAAGTTTCAGCTCAGCTTCAGCTGAATATTTCGAGAAAAACAACATTCTAGGATTTCGATTTCAAATCAAAAGTTGCTGAATCATGTTTTGAATTGGGCCTGAATTTAGCGTCTGAGACACGTTCTCAGTGAGCCGATTGCAGCTACCGGTACGCGATGTCGCGCACCGATCCGACGAATTATAGCAACTGCGCGCGCGTGTGCGTCATGTC